CTACCATGAACATAACTGGGAGTCCTTAACTTCACATTCACTCGCCATAAAGCCCATACTGGATCGAGACTGATCCGATTCTACCAATACAGAACTAGCCCGAGAAGACTTCCACAATTATTCCGAAGGTTACTGCAACACGAGTCTAATACAAATCAAAATTCTATTTCACCATTGGGGAGAAACATACCCCAAATACTTGGGAACATAAACACATTGCATAAGGGAATGGGTGGCACGATCCTAGATTCGCAATTGTCGCCTCTTGAATCCCATTCGGAGAATTCCTGCTCCCTGAGGGTTCACAACTTAATGTCTGTCCGACCATTCTGGAAAACATAATCTGAGCAGCAACAGACAAAACCTTCAATGGTTGATGCTCAACCTGAGAATTACCAATTCTCCCCCACTTAGAACACTAACCACCACCACTGGTGTGAAGCCCAACATAACTTAGCTGACAATCCCTAATGCTTGAATGATCCCACTCTCAAATCTTGAAGTCCAAAGATGGATGCTCTACTAATACTTCAGCAACAAGATATTTCCCTTGGCGCTCTCATATGCCAATTAATAATGATTACGAAAAACCATTGAATCCTGACAATGTCAGATATCCATCCTGTGGAACCCTATCCGCAAACCTCCCACATATTACCCCCTTTTTTTTTTGAATGAATGAATCCCTGATCTCTAATCACTTACAATCCTTTGATAATAAATTTCTCCTAATACCTCCAATGGCCTAACCACTCATTAAACTTCACGACACATAAATCAGACAGAACAGGAAACTAACCCGGAATTACAACTTGTCCACATTCAACAATATTCCAAGACAAAATAAAAACCAATCACAGACGATTTGACCACAATATTATTACAGAATGGGGGCTTTCCAACTACATACCAGCGACTTCTTGCGGCTCGACCTTGAACTCCTGAAGAACGATGACTGCTGGAATCTGAATTCCTTCCGTCCACAATACAGGACAGCTAGACCTGAAATGACCTAGCTGGTGACAGTGAAAGCATATCTGATCCTTCTTGCAATCCTGCTGCACATGCCCTCTCTCCCCACACTTGTAGCACCTGAATTTGTGATAAGCAATTCCGTGGGTTCCCCCACACTTGCCACACACCTCCTGACTCTCATGACTTCCAGTACTTAGGTTAGCTGTCTCCAACTCTTCATCCTCTGCTGAAAAGTCCCTCCTCCTCTTTCCTAGTTGTGACCCCACCACCGATACTCCCCCAGAAGTTATCCGGTTAGCAACATCTCTCACAGATTGCAACGCTGCAACATGCTCCTCGAACTTGGCGATCACCCTGGCGGTGACCCGGTCCACGACACCGAACAATTCTTCTCGCAAAATCTGAGAAACCTTCACGAAAACCATCTCCCGTAATTGATCGACGGACAATACCGACCTATCCTGGCCACTCGCTTCCGATCCTGATCCAGATCCCGCCTCAAGTCGATTCGCCATCACCATACTGAACATATACCAGGAAGATATCAGATAATCCACCTACACGACGGGGAACCTACTCCCAACCAAACCCTAGGGGTTGTGACTTCCTTGCTATGCGTATGGGTCTTGTGCTTTCAGTAGTGCGGGCCCATACTACCTTCCACACCTACCCATATTTTTCTCAAGTATCACCACAACACCCTAACAATATTCATAAACATAGAGAGCGATCCGTCCTCACTCCTAAAGGAATGCTAAATATCTCATAACTGGCCTCCCGACCCCTCACTACCCACCCATCCAGCAACTGCACACGACCCTCCATTGGTGCCAGTTAACTATTGCATGAATACAATCACATACCGCATGGCTTAAACAATCTTAGACTAAAAGATTTAATCCCACAACGGTTGGACTCAGACAAGAGCTGCACAGCAGGACCAATCCCTTACCCTAAGACCATTTAACCAATGTAGCATGTGATTTGGAGTATTCACCCAATAGTTAGTTCACACGCGAAAGAGCCATACAACAATAAATGAGGTACTCTACATAAGATAAGGCATCAAAGATCAGGCAATTCTATCATATGGTTCCTGAGGATCCCTATCTTAGTACTAGCATGTTTTTCTAACATATCACAATATCAAATAACGGTATGGTATTTTGGGGTCTACTTACTGGCTCCGGCTGATCGTACACTCTGCATCCTCCTTTACTTATTTTGAAAACCTTTTAAAATCATTTTAAAATCTTTTCCTTGATTTGAGACTGGATTCACACGAGTGTTCCTCTAATTCACTCAAACCAAGGCTCTGATACCAACTTGTAACACCCAAAAAATTCAAGCCAATTTAAACTTTTAAAAACATTTCGAATCCATTAACCATTACGAACTTGTTTTCAAAATGTATCATATCAGAGTATCCCAGAAACAAAGTCATAAAAAGTGAGGAGCTGTACAATCATGCCTTTGCCTTGCCACGATCCCCTGAAGTACCTGAAACAATAAACTGAAACTGTAAGCCCGAAAGCTTAATGAGTTACCCCTAAAATACCGATACAGTCCACATAACGATATCAACAATATCATAACATTACAAACTGAACATAACAACATGCACTGGGTCCACAGCTCGTATTTGGAATGCCATCGAGCCCTCAGTACGAGTCTGGAATGCCTACCGGGCCCTCAATTCGTTTCTAGAATGCCATCGAGCCCTCAGTATGAGTCTGGAATGCCTACTGGGCCCTGAGCTCGTATCTGGAATGCCATCGAGCCCTCAGTACGAGTCTGGAATGCCTACCGGGCCCTTAGCTCGTATCTGGAATGCCATCGAGCCCTCAGTACGAGTCTGGAATGCCTACCGGGCCCTCAGCTCGTATCTGGAATGCCATCGAGACCTCAGTACGAGTTTGGAATGCCTACCGGACCCTCAGCTCGTAGTCCTCAGTATGAGTCTGGAATGCCTACCGGGCCCTCAGCTCATATCTAGAATACTCTAGGGTTTGTTGGCTACCGCACGGAGCAGTACAACCTCAACCCATCCCACATAACATGTCGACATGTATCATGATCAATGCACATACAAATAATCATATAATATCACAGACAGTCCTACAGATCTACCCGACTAGCATATCAACTGGCATTCATCACTAACTCAACTCAACATATCAATAACTACTAGGATGTCAAATCCAATGGGTCGACCTTGGTGCCTTAGACCCCTTAGTATAGTGAGGATAACTCACCTTGCAACTGCCGGACCGAATCACAAGAGCACAATCCCGAAGCACCGCCTCAAACTCCAACACCTATATCCATCAATAACCATTGACATAAATATCCAAATTACCATAATACCCCTGAAGGTCAAAGTCAAAGTCCTCAATCAATGTCAACCTTCCTGATTAACTCTACTCGTCGAGTCAACCCGTCGACTCGCCGAGTTCTCATATCCAGAAAACTCTCATAGCACGACTTAACTCGCCGAGTCGCCCCAAGACTCGTCGAGTCCAACGATCTCTGTGTTCCATCCTGACCAACTCACTGAGTCCCCAACCGAATCACTAATCCAAGGCTTTAACTGAAAGAGGTTAGGTTCTGCGAGCAGACTCGCCGAGTCCAAGAACAGACTCGCCGAGTTCACGACAATCTTCAATAGACTCGTCGAGTTGTTCTTCCAACTCGTCGAGTCCAAGCTCATCATCATAAGACTCGCCGAGTCGCCCATGCGACTCGTCGAGTTACTACACGACTTAATGTCTGATCTCTAACCCGACTCGCCGAGTCATCTCCCAGATTCGCCGAGTCCATACGTGTATTCTCATAATCTCGAGTCACCGAGCTACTCCTTTGCTCCAAACAATAGATCTGGGTCTCTAGGGTCAATTAGCAACATAAAGTTGCCACCTTTACGTGCTTCTTGCCCCAAAATACCAAAAACCAAGCTAGAAAAGGACTTAACTCTTAGGGAAGGGCTTTTGCATAACAACTAGAAAGGCTTTCTGCATTAATGATCCATATAGAACTCAGATCTGGAGTTTCAACTCCAGATCTAACTCATGCTTCAAGATGTCATCACTATTTCTCCAACCAAACCCTAAAACTCCATGAAAATGGAACTAGAAAGGAGAAGGCCAAGGATAACGATTCCTTACCTCCAAAATGATTTCCCACTGAAGTATAATCCGGATCTCTTCAAGTCTCCTTGATCCAAGCTTCTTGATCTTTAAGATTCCTTCACAAATCACACTAAATTGCTTCCAAGTCTTCTCACAAACGAAATTAGGGCTTCTGGATCTCAAAAGGGTAGCAAAGAGGCTGAGGGTGGGTTATAATGTGCTTTATAAAGGGCACAACCCCCCAGGATTAGGGTTTTCTCCTTTCAGCACCAACTCGTCGAGTACAAGCCGCCGACTCGGCGAGTTGGCAACTTAAACCCACGACAAACCACTCTGACTCAGCGAGTAAGTATGCCTACTCGTCGAGTCCCTTTCCTTAATTTACAATTTAAGCCCTTCAACGACACCTCTGGAATTTGGGGTGTTACATTGTTAATTTTTTTTAGATGTTGATAACATTTCAAAAATCCTGATATATTTGAATATTCGATATAAATCTAGAATTATATGATTTTTGCCTTCATGATGGGAGTTGTAGTGGTTTGAGGAGTGAAAATGTACATAAAAGATCCAATGTTCGAACCTTAGCACACCAAAATAATGCTAATTTTTTTGCTATTAACCTTCCATATAGGACCTTAGACGGATTGATGTGGGGCGTTTAGATGATACAATTTACATTTTTTTTTCTAATTATACAATTTTTTACCTTTTAATTAAATTAAATTAAATATATATAAAATTACCTTTTTAATTAAGCAATTCTTGAAAAACTCATTACCGGCCTTGCTTAGAACCTAGCTTAAAATATGTTATTTTGGTGATAGTACGACCTCGTTTGACAATCATAAACTATTAATATTTATTAACACTAAAAAGAATGTTCGGACCCATGTCCAAGAAGATTTCATATACGACTTTTGTCACCCGGTCCGATAAACCAATACATTCCGGATCCTTATCGCCGACTGTGGGGGTTGCGTCAACATGTTCACTATTACTGTCGTAATTCTCTCGATTCTCTCGCTAACAACCCCATCATCTTCTTCCGATCAACCACCCCGATCCCCGGCCGATGTCTGCATCATCGGTACCGGCATCGCCGGTTCATCCGTCGCACACTTCCTTCGTCAATACTCCTCAAGCATATCCCAAATCCGCATGTTCGAGCGTCATCCCATCGTCGGAGGTCGTATGGCAACCGTCACCATCGGCGGAGAAACATTCGAAGCTGGTGCCTCAATTCTTCATCCCAAAAACTACCACGCTTTGAACTTCACCCATTTGTTGAATCTCAAAGTCAAGGGGCCTTCCGCTAGTGATAGTTCTTTCTCGCTCGGCATTTGGGATGGTCAAAAGTTCTTATTCAAAACTATTGATTCCAAATCAAAGAGTTCGGTGGTTCAGTACTTCGTCTCCCTCGCTAATTCGTTGCGAATGTTCGTCCGATATGGTGTTTCCCTCCTTAAGATGACCAATTTTGTTGAGGTACGGCTTCTTCTTGTCGCTCTTCAAGTTTATTAGCTGAACTTAAACATAAGCGTGCCAGATGATGATCCACTTGATTGATTTGAAATTACAATCAACTCATTTCAGTTTTGAATTCCTATTAACTTGCTAATTTTGTAATTAATTAGTTCTCAAGGACATGAAAAATATTTTGATTTCTTGATGGATTAACATATTTGTAGCATATAATTGTAGTAATATGCGTCTAAAGCCTCATGAGATTGATGTAATTAGTTTTTTCAAACAAAGAATCGTTCTAATCCATGCCCCTCTGTCTTAGAGTAACTCCTTGGGATAATCCAAACATCATTTCAATACTTTGGCCTCTACCTCTGTCATCGATCTTCTCTTGGCTTTTCCTCAAAATCCTTACGTCCCTAACCTTCTCTTTTATACAATCTTTCTAAATTCTAATTCTATTCTCCTCAACATCTACATTTCTGAATGCTCAACTTGTGTACATGTGGTAAATCATGGCAGGTTCTATTGTCATGTAAAACTGTCAACTTTAATGGAACTTTATGATGTTGTAATACATGTAACCAAATTTATGTATGCATTTACTACCTTAACAGGTTACAGTGGATAATTTCTTGAAGTATTATGAAAGCAAGGAGTCAAGACCAATTTTCAACACTGTGGAAGATATGCTCAAGTGGGCAGACTTATACAATCTAACAACACAAACATTAGAAGAAAAATTAGTTGCTCTCAATTATTCTCCTCTCCTCATACAAGAGCTTATCACTGTAAGTTACTTCTTTCCAATTTCCATAAACATGGAAAAATCTTTATAGATAGTAATAAATCCAACATATCATACTTTCTTCAGGTTATAACAAGAATCAACTATGGTCAAAGTGTCAGAATCAGTGGACTTGCAGGTGCTGTTTCTCTAGCTGGATCAGGAGGAAACTTATGGGCAGTTGAAGGTGGAAACTGGCAGATGGCTGCTGGATTAGTCAACAGATCTGATGTTACTTTGCATCTTGAAGAAGAAATAGAATCAGTCACAAATCTTGATGGTTTTTATGAAGTTAATTCCACTAAAGGAAACAGTTACACATGTCAAGTTACAGTGGTTGCTACACCTTTAGATGAGCTCAACATTCAATTCACCCCAAAATTTTCTATCCCAGAAAGAAAATTACAGCATACACATGCAACTTTTGTCAGAGGCCTCTTGAATCCTGTGAGTTCTAACTTCTTATCATTATTTTAAGAGAAAATTACAAAAATGGTCCCTGTGGTATGGCATAATAGGCACCTATAGTCCAACTTGAATAAAATGGACAAACTTGATCCTTGTGTTATTTGGATATTACAAACTTGGTACCTAAGCAGTTAACTCTAACTGCGGGTTAAATACAGTAAATTTACCTTTTTACCCTCACCTTTTTTTATTCATATCTTTGTCTTTTATTAAGATGTCCTGTAGTTAAATACAGTAAAATTACCTTTTTGTAACTATATGACATCTTAATAAAAGAAGTAAGTTACATGAAGGGTCCCTATTGTTTGGGGTAATTTGCGTGCTTGGACCCTAACTTATTTTTTTTAACTTGGAAGGTCCCTACTATTTGTTTTTGTTACGTGCTTGGTCCCTATTGTTTGTTTTTGTTACAGTTACACACTTTGTCTTTGTCTTATCTAAAAAGACTATTATTTAAATAGGAAAAAATGGTGGGGTATGTAAGGTAAGGTAAAGGAGGTGGGTTGGGAGTGTGTTTATTTAAATAAATTAAAAAATCAAGGGAAAAATAGTCTTTTTAGGTAAGACAGGGACCAAACGCGTAACAAAAACAAACAGTAGCGACCTTCCGAGATAAAAAAATAAGTGAGGGACCAAACACCCAAATTACCCTAAATCATAGGGACCATTCGTGTAATTTACTCTAATACAAGACATGAATTAAAAAAGGTGAGGGTAAAAAGGTAATTTTACAGTATTTAACAGGCTCTGCAGTTAGAGTTAACAGCTCAGGGACCAAGTTTGTAATACCCAAATAACACAAGGACTAAGTTTGTCCATTTTATTGAAGTTGGACTATAGGTGCCTATTATGCCATACCACAAGGACCATTTTTGTAATTTTCTATTATTTAAATCCTCATCATAAATTCATAATCTAGTTACAAAATTTTGTATATATATATACTAATGTTTTGATTTGGTTCAGGTGTACTTTGGGTTGGATTCAATGTTGGAGATTCCAGAACTTGTTGGGACTATAGAGAGTGATGAGCTTCCATTTACATGCATCTCCATTCTCAAGGAACATAGTGAGAATGATATGACTTACAAGATGTTCTCTCGTCAAAGTTTGAGTGACACATTGTTGGATCAGATTTTTAGGTAAGATTTGTTGTTTCCCGATTTTATGTTCTCTTTATTATTTACTTTATTTAAGTCACTTTTTTGGGTGATTGGAAATTGGCAGCATAAGGAGTGAGACAATAAGAATAAATTGGGGTGCGTATCCACATTATCATGCTCCTGAGAAGTTTGCTCCTTTTATGTTGGATGATGGACATCTGTATTATGTGAATGCATTTGAGAATGCAGCAAGTACTATGGAAACTGGTGCTGTTGCTGCTGAGAATATAGCGAGACTTGTCCTTTCAAGGTTATCTTCCCAACAGCCTTTGAGAATGTATGGTTTGAAGACTTCTATATTAGATTCAAGCCCTGAGCATCGGGAGTTGTGATATGTGTAAAAATAACCATTTGTTTGTTGTAACGTTACTGTAATAGATCGGGTCAAATAATTAGTTAATGGGGCAAATAATAAGGTACAAGAACCAAGTTCACTCTCCTTAATTTTGGGTAATCGATTTTATTTTCTCACTTGAATTTTGTCCTCAAATGTAGCATGGTATCTATATCACAAAAAACAAAGTTGGTTAACTAAATTGGGAAAAACAAAGTTGGGACTTATACCATGTTATTTCACCTTATTATATTAACTGAATGCAGTTCTCTGTAACGTAAGAAAAGTATTATTTTTAATTTTATGTCTGAATATTTTTTTGGTTTCTCAGTTAGTGGTCAAGATAGCTTAACAACGTTGAGTAGTTATATTATCTGATCATTTGACATTAGTCCATCTTTGTAGTTAATGGGAAACATAGATCATGATTCCTTAAAAACATTAACATGTCCAACTAAAATGAACTCCGCGAAACGAATCTCTATGATCAGTCTTCCTCATGAATCAGTGTTAAGATTTCGAAACAGAACTTAACAATAACAATGCAAGATGAACACCTAGAAGAAAGAGAAGAATTTCAATGGTATCAAAATGAGGAAAGATCACATAGCAACATAGGAGGACCCTAATAGCCCGATGATTCCCTCTACACAAACAACAATGCTGAATCCAATCTAACTAGCTACAATGAAGCAGAAGTATCTCTACCTCACTCTCACCAGTTAACTAGATATTGGCCCACTGGGCTTTTCCACAATAGGGTCTTGGTCCAATTCTCTATCAATCTGACACGAAAGGTACAACTGAATACAGAAATCATATCAGAAAATGGAAATCAAGATGTTCTACAGCTTCTAGTAATCAAATCTATTTGTTGGGGAGACTATATGTAGCATGCACTAAGGTATCTTTGACACGCCATTTAAGTTGGAAACTTATTATTTGAGTTTTTTTTGGTTGTTATGTTTGAAAAGTCAAAAAATAGTTTATAACCTAGCTTTTTAAAAAGCTACTCGGTGTAGCTTTTTGAGTAGCTTATAGAATTTTTATTTTTCTAAATTCTTCCATATATATACCTTTAATAATTATAATAAACATGTTTTTCTACGTGTCCTTATATATCATTTCACTTTCCAGCTAGCTTCCCAACTAGTGTTAAACAAAATGTCACTTTTTATATATCATTTCACTTTCCAGCTAGCTTCCCAACTAGTTTTAACAAAATGTCATTTTTTATCAACTAACAGTTGGTTTTTTTAACCACCAGCTAGCATGTCAAACATAACTTAATTTGAAACAAACCGCAACTAATTAAAAGAGACAAATGTTTGTAAATAACCCACTAGTCTCCTCTAATAAATGAAAATCTATTTTGCCACATGTCAAACTTTTATAAGTTTTAACACTTGTTATTTTATGGTATTTTTGAAATAAATAATATCTACATGTCAATTTTTAGGTTTTTTTAATTTTTAAAATTTAAAGCCACATAATACGTATTAGTTATATAAGTAAAATATTAAATGTAATAAAGATGATCATAAATTGAAATAAATATGTTTTTTCCTTTTTTATTTTAAAATTTAACTTTAAAAAAATACTTAATGTTTACATTTTGATATTTAATTTTTTTTTAATTAATCCATGTAATATATGGGTCTCACACCTAGTTAGTTAATTATTTGCCATCACTTACTTAATTGTAGCCCATATAAATGTTTATTGTGATGTTTGTGTTTGTTTCATATTCCCTTTTTTTCTTTCACATGATACAGGGCTATTGACCTACCGTATGATGGAAGTCCAAGAAGTCATTGATCTAATTAAAATGTTAAGTGGAAAAATAAGACCCACAGTTCAACAAACTACCTTTAGACTCGTGTAGCTGAACTTTGAATTGCTTTGGGTCCGTTATTTGGAAGAAAAGACTAACCAAGGAATTTCCCTTTTCTTTTCGATTTTTTTTATGTAATTTTGGTCATTTTGCCATGTGATCATGGTTACAACTCCTTTTATGTTGTTGCATCCTGGTGGACATATTTGGTTTTTTATTCATGGGGCGAGAGAAGGGTTTGGGTGTTAAAAAGATATACCTCATGTGCCTGATTGGAGATAAAGCTCTAAAGCACACTGTCGGTTCTGATGAAAACATATAAAATAGAATTCGTTAATTATCATTCACATAATTCATCCACTTGGACAAAGTAGTTGTAGCTATATCTCCTATTGAGTTTGGTTTTGATCTGGATAGAGTTTGATATATTCATGTTGATCCAACATATCAAAAAACTATATACAAATGGGGCTTAATAGCTAGCGCTGCCGTCTATAATACGTCTTCGGTTCATTGCCAGGCAGTGCAAATAGAGAGGTTTCTAGCAAGTATTCTCCTGTTGTTGTTTGATATGCAGAGAGATCTCCACCAATAATGTGATTCCATGACTTATAATAACCCAACACATCTTCTTCTTCTTCATCCGTCTTTCCATCATCAAACACAAAACTCACCCCACACTCATTTGCAAGTCCAAAATTCATTGCAACAGTAACAGTAACCCAATCACCAGTATCCATCTCATTCTTCCCAAACATCCAATGGCTCAACATTATTAGACTCTCTTCACCTGCAGTGAAACCACCAATGCAATGCTTGTATAACCAGGTTTGGTTCTTAGTTATATTTCTAATTGTGATTACTGGCAAATCAAAGAATTCATTCAAAGATAGAAATGTCTGCACACAGAGGTTCAATCCTTTGATGTTGTTTCGAGATGATGGGATGGTAAATGATATTGATGACCCCTTCCTACTGTGACTAATCCAATTTGGCATCTCTTTTTTGTCTCCATAAATCGTGCTGAATATTCCAAATTCATAATACATCTGCAAAATACAATCACCATAAATTATATACTCAAAAATATTTACACAGAGAGATGGTTAATAGCAAACCTGGATTTCAGATTCGTCATATCCTCTTGACAAAATATTAGTCCAGCCCAAACTACGTAATACCTCTTCCTCAACACTTATCATTGGTTGGATTTCGACCAGACCTTTGATTTCAAAAAACAACTGTAGGAACAATTGCATGTCAACTGAAAACTTGAGTGGGGACATATGTGGATGAAATACGACTTTTCTTAGCAATGGCTTAGAATCAAAAAGGAGGATCAACTCTCTTAGTGTTTTTGGAGGATGCTCGACTGACGTCAGAAATTTACAGTTTCTCATACTAAGTATCTCAAGCCTAGGAAGGCTTCTCACACAATCAGGCATCGAAACAATAGGATTGCCATCTAAATATAATTCCTTTAGCATGGATATGAAACTCAAGTCCATGGGAAAGGATTCTGTGGACATATTATTATCATTTAGCGACAACCTTACTAAAGATCTCGGTAAAGAAATCATAAACAACTTCCTCTCACTTGGTGTAGCCTTCAAAACCATCTCAGATGAAGAGGGTTTTCTGTTGCTAGCCTTGAACATCTCCAGAGGTGTCATATCGCTAATTTCGATTCGAGATTCACCGAGATTATAACCATCTAAATATAATTCTTCTAAATTGGATAGGTGATTGACGTCTATGGGAAATGATTCTTTCAACAGATTAGTAGTTTTAAGTGACAACCTTACTAAAGATCTTGGAAAAGCAAACATGACAAACTGCAATTCACTTGGTATACCCATCGGAATGTCAGATGAAGAGGGTTTTGTGTTCATGTCAATGGTGTTAGCCTTGAACTTATCTGGAGAATCCACATCCCTACCCTTGACTTGAGATTCATTGAGATTATAAAAACCATCCAGCAATAGTATTTTAACCTTATTTAGCATGCCGATGGTTCTTGGAAGTTTTTCAAGCTTCTTGCAGTAGCTAAAATTAATGAGGACAAGTTCAACACATTCCTCAATTGATTCACAAACCTTACATAGAGCACTGCAATTTGTAACTACTAGCCTCTCAAGTGCAGGGATTTGGTCAAAGCCACCAAGACTACCAAGCTTTTTACAGAAACTTAAATTAAGAATCTTTAATGATCCAAGCAACCTTTTGTTTTTTGAGCATGATCCAGTCAACTGCTAAAATGCACATAAGTTAGAATAGTAGTGAGTTTCATCAACTCAACATGGACTAATTATCAATGGATATAAATTACCTTTTGCCTCTTCGGCTTCTTACTATAACAAATGTCAAATGATTTAATCTTGCTACGTGACATGTCGAGAGCAACCAGATTCGCCATTGGTAAGTCTGAAGGTATAGACTTCAAACAAAACCCATGAATACACAACCATCTTAATCCTTGTGGAAAGTTCTCGTAAGAAGACCCACTTATTTGCACATTAATGAGTTGTAATAGCATAAGCTTATCCATTTTCCTAAACGCATCGGTGTTCAACTCAAATGTTTTATGTGACTTCTCACTCTCAAGCATACTCATGTCAAGGCTGAGGCCTAGAATCTTTGTTGTACCCTAAGAAGAAACCGAATGCCAGAAAATCATATAACGTTTACACAATACAAAATACTTTGAACAACTAAGTATATACATAACATGGCCACTTACCTTTTTTTGTTTCAACACTTCAAATGACTCCTCGGGGCACCACAATAGACTTCGCTTCCATGGTTTGTCAGGTGATTCTTCACGGACTACAAATCTTCCCATCTCTTGAAGCAACCCATGCATCATCAACTTGTTGTTCCGTCCGATACTAAGAAGGCATCTATCAGTGAGAATCTTGATACCAGATATTGTTTCTATACCACATGACTTCAATATCGTTTCACTAACATCTCTGTCCATTCCAACGAAAAAACAAGCAATATGCTTAAACAAGTCCTTATCATTTGGGGATGGCAAAGTATCAAAGCTCTTTCTCAAAATATTATTTATAGGGGAATCATTTCCTTGCTTTAGTCCTTCTAGGCACTCCTCCCAATAAGCTAAATCTCTATTATGTAGAGATTTGCCCAAAACTTCAAGAGCCAATGGATGTCCTTCACAATATTTCACAAGCTTCTTTGACACCTCTTCATAACCGGCCTTGGGATCCTTGGACATGAATGCATGAGAACACAAAAGTTTTCGTGATTCAGTCTCATGTAATCCTCGAAGCA